TCTTAAAAAACAAACTGCAAAAAGAAAAAGTGAGATAAAAATTAAAATTATATGTACAATATAATCTCATTTATTCAACTATGCTTTAAAATAAACTGGAAAAACCACTAAAAATAAACATAGCAAAATCTGAATGGGCTCTAGGTATTACAGGTAAGATTTATTTATTCTTCTTGCTACTTTCCATAATGAATGTGCATTAATTTTCTAAGTGGGATAATAAATGCTTTCATTCTAATTATTTATTACAAAGATGATAAAAAATAAGCTTATAAAAGTTTGTAAGTTTCAAAGTTTATAAAGGAGGTTTAAAAGATAGCCTCATTTCACCAATCCAAGTTGTTCCCATTTGTTCTGTGGCTCTCGTCAGTACCACCTGGGTGTACCCACACCTCTCTCATAGTTCTGATCAGCCTGAATGGAGTAGTTGTCACAGGCGCTCTGCAAGGCACAAGTTAAGCCTTTCTCTTGCCTGGTACTCCTTCACTAAAAAATCTGGCAACCCAGAAGCCAGAAGGGTGGTACTGGCAGCACGGAGTAGCTGGGTTTGGGCAAAGTTCTGGTTGCTAGCCCCAGACTCCTCACTAAGCTCTGTATAGCCTTAGCAAGCCGTCTAAGCTCTCAGCCTCAGCTTCCCCATTCATACAATGGGCAAAGAAGCCTGGGAGGGGAAAACCCTAAAATCTTTTTCAGGTCTTCTCTCTGTGATGTGTGCATATTTGACTCAAAAATCCCTAAACAGATCCCAATTCTTGAAAACTTTTATATAAATCAAATCAGCTCAAATATAAAAAGACTGGCTATTAAAAAAATACCTATAGGAATTTTCATATAAATTGTTTTTATTTTTGCAAATCTAGACATTAACATATTGATAGATGGGCTTCACACAGAACCAAGTGCATTTGTACACTAAAACAATTCAAACATTCCCCTGTGAAGCTAGCTTGATCTACATTAAGGAAAAAATCAGTTAAATAATGGATTAACAAAAACTGTGAATTATAGAGTTCTTTCACATTTGTATCGTTTTAGTTCTTAAGTACTTAAATCTCTTGCCTCTTCAAGCAGGGAGGACAAATATTTCCTGATCGGCCTGTTCTGAGGCAAGGAAAGTCTCATCCCAGGCCTGTATGTTCCAAAAGGGAAGTTTGAATCAGTGAAATTTCAGCTACCATTCAAGTGATCTGATGACAAGCTTCATTCAGTTTCCGAAGCAGTAACTTGGGCACGGCCCAACCTCACTTACAAAGTGCAACAAGTTACTTCCATCTACAAATGAGACTCAAGGCCACATGCCGACCTTGAACTAACCCCATCCTCTTTCCATCTTACAAAGATGCTACTGGTGCTGACCTGGGACTGCTGAACATAGGAAAGTCCTTATGTTTGGGAACAGATATCAACAAAAGTACAGATCACCCTGTGATGAACAATTCTATTTTGATCCATCCTCTCATTTAAGTCAATACTCTGAGAAGTTTCTCTCAGATGTTGGCAGTCTTTTGGTGGAAGAAAGTTTCTAGTGTTCCTTTCTTGCAGATACATCTATCCAATCATTTCTCAAGTCCTTTCCCAGAGACCACTTCACTATGAAGCTAATGACATTTACTCGAAGCCTTTCATTCGATCCTCGCAGGACCCTTCCAACTCACAGTCACTTTGTCTTTTTCATAAAAAACATTTCAGAACCACCAGGAAAGGCACCGGCTCCCCTATGTACCTCCACTCTGATCTGTCTGTGCTTGATTCCGCTCATGACAGGCACAGCCTTTCACATCATACTGAGGCTTAACGAGCAAAGACCCTTGGAAGGGCGAACAGTGACCTACATTCATATTCAAGAGACAGTGACAGATGACAGACTGTTTTCTCCCCAGAGACTAGTTTTATATAGTGAAAGGCTAAGAACAGCTGGAAATGGTGAAGAGGGCAAGAGAACTGCAGGCCTCAGGAGAGCAGGACAAGGTGAGGAAGCAGGCACTAGGACACATCCAAATAAGTGTCACCTACTGTCAGACTCTGCAAGAGCATGCCAGGAGACACAGATACAGAGAGAAAAAAAGTCATACTCTGGACCATGAGTATTACAGTAAAGTTCAGCTCAGGTGAAAAAACTCCAAGAATGCTTGAAAGAATGGGAGGGAACACCTGCTGGCAAGTGTGAGGCCCTGAGTTCAATTCCCAGTACCAAAGAAAAGGGGAGGGAGAGAAGCAGGGCTACTACGGCCACTGAAAGACGAGTCCAGGGTCCTCACCCACTGCTAGGAGACCTCAAATTTGCTGGGTAATACCTCCACCTGCCCCCTAGCACAGTCCTTGGAACATGGTAAACTTCTTTGTTGAATGCATGGAAGCCATTCCAGGTGAAGATCTATCAGATTCTAAAGGCTGCAAAGATGGTTGCTTTTCCTTGACAGCTTTGCTGAAGCCATCTGCCTCGGTTTGGGAGGGAAGACTTTGTTAGCCCTCTTGGCCACTGGAATCTTATTTCATCTTGCAAGACCAGTTTATGTTTTCTCTGTAAACTCCTTGTGTTTTTCTTCTTTGGTTCCCCCCCCCCCTTTCTCATTAGCAAATACATGATCTCAAGTATATTCATGGGGCACTTACTGTATTTTCTAGATGTTTTTCATTTTCCATAATGCCTATTTGCAGAAAAGACCCAGGGGGGCCTTTCAAACAAAAATAATATATTATAGGTTTAAAAGAACTTTAAAAAGATATCAGAAGTGATTTAGGAAGAAAAAGTTCATGGTACTAAGAAGCTAGGATAAAATTCTTAGTATATTACTACAGGCAGAGAGCAGTCTCAATGTCTGATTTTAAAAAGGCAACAATTCTGTATGATCCAAAGCTTTTTCTGATGTTAAATCTTAGGAGAAATTTGCTCCTGGCTTTTTGTACATACTGCCCACACTGTTACTTTATAAGTTTATTAAGCACTCTGTTAGACCTTTTAGGACAAACCCTATGGCTTAGACTATATTTCCCTCATATCGGCCTATCTCACATTGTAAGTGTTCAAATATTAGCCCAACAGATTGAGGGTCCAGGTTTCTTGCCAGTTTGATTATCCTGCTGTGTCTTGAGATCTCAGGACAATCAGAGTAAAGGATTCATCAGATCTCTAAGCAGAAGGATGCTCAGACCATATGATATGGCCCTAGCCACACACAACCATGGGATTTTCAAGACATTCTCAGCCCCAACCTCTGGGGCCAGTACGCAGCAAGGAGTCAAAGGTCCACCTAGCCCCGTTTTCATCCTTACCTCTCCCTACCCTTCAGGTTTGCTCTTTTTTTGAGGTTCATTGTCTGTCTTTCTGTCCTCATCACACATCCCTTTGAGCTTTAGAGATTGGTTTACTAACTTTTGTTCATTCTCTCTGATAACTAGCACAATACTTTGTAAAAAGGAACTTCTTTTAGGCTACTGTCATCATTATTTAAGGAAACAGACTTGGAAAGAAGTTCCAGAGCGGTATTTTTTAGTATTTTGCTCTGCTGGTGTCTAACAAACCCTTCGGTATAGAGAAGTTATTCTCAAGTGTGGAAGACCAGCTCGGCCACAGCAGCAGCAGCCCAGGAGGGTAAAATGCAGTTTACTCAGGAAGTTGAAGACTAAGGGGTCAGCACACACTATATTCTCTCCCCCTTGGTCCCTGCATGCACCCCAAGTACACTGGGCAACGCCTCAGCAGAAAAAAAGAAAGAAAAGGAGGAGAGAAAGAAAAGGAGAACAACCAGGAGGAAGAGCCTTTGCACTTAGATAGCTGTTCCTTCAATGTTACAATAGGGTCACAGCATATTGAGAACGCCATGGTACATCAGGTTGTACATAGTAGGCAGTCAGTAATATTTTTGAATTAAGCCGATCTCAGGACAGCTGACTTGCACACAGTAGGTCCTCAGGAAAGACTATGAAATCAAAAAGTAGCAGACACTCTCCTTACAGAACCGAAGCAGAGGTGACATTAATCAAATCCCAGGCACAGATCCATGAATGGAAATGCGCTTCTCCAAGGAAGCGCCTCCGAGAGTGTGCTGGAGAGGCGCGTGACAGTGCGCGCAGGCGGGGGCGGCGGCAGCACCTCGCTCCTTCGGGAAGTGGCCGAACCGCCCCCGGGCCCAGGGCATTGATTAGCGATCGGAATCCATCCGCAACCGCAACCGAGGGCCAGGAAGCCACCTCCTCCTCCAATTGTCACTTCGGGCCGCACCTGGAACTCCCATCACAGCCCCCTCCCGGGCATCCACCCACCCGGGCTTCTCAGTTTCCGAACAGTGTCCGGCAGAACAAAAGCAAAAGCTAGCCGGGCTCCGGCTCGCTCCTCCGACGAAGAACAACCTGGGAAGAGGCAGGAGCCGCCGGCCCGGGACAGAGCAGTGATGTCAGCCCCAGCCCTATGCGCATCGCCGCTCTCCCCAGCAGTTTCGGGGCTCGAGCAGGGGAAATCGGCGGGGATCCCTCTGTCCCGGAGCCAGGACCCTCAGAGCGGGCGCCTCTATCGGGTGTGGCAGTGAGAGGGCGCTGTCTTAATCCTTGAACCGGGGTGAAAGGAGGCTGGAGAGGAGCGTAATCGGGTACAGAGGAAGACCACACAACCAAGACTAAAATTTAAATTCGCAGAGAGAACTGCCCCTCCGCGACCCCGGACGCGTGGGTCCGACTCAAGGGGTGGGGTCTCCTCGCGCCCGACCCCTGCGCCCCATCCCTACACACCCAGGGAAATTCCAGCGGGAGCCCTCCTGGCCGGCAGGCGACCCAGGGAGAGCCGAGGTGCGCGAGGAGGTCAGCAGGGCGGCCCACCGGTGGGTCCCGCGGAGGAGCCCACGGCTCGGAAACTCGCTAGTTGGTATTTCTGTGAGGGCGAGGCGGAGGTGCAGGGAGAGCGGGGAAATCTCATCCCTCCTTTCTCCGCATCTTCTCCGGAGTCCGCGGAACTCCGAGAGGCACCCGCGGCGGGAGGAGAAAGCAGAGGAGGGGGAGCCACTTACCGAGGGGGAGCGCTGAGCGCGGCACCCGGGCGCGAGCGGCGCCTTTGTCTGCGGTCGCGGCGCCGGCGCGCTCGGCCAGGCGGGTCCCAGCCCAGCGCGCG